CCTTTGCTCATGCCATTATCCTCAGGGCTCTACCCCACCCACTCCTCCAAAACAGATTAAAGCTTACTCTTCAAGGTTTTTTAGGTACCTCCAAATACCATCTCCTTTCTAGAGTCTTCTAACATTCTTTTTTTTTTTAAAGATTTTATTTATTTATTTGAGATATTATTTATTTATTTGAGATCACAAGTAGGCAGAGAGGCAGGCAGAGAGAGAGAGGAGGAAGCAGGCTCCCCACGGAGCAGAGAGCCCGATGCAGGGCTCCATCCCAGGACCCGGGATCATGACCTGAGCCGAAGGCAGAGGCTTTAACCCACTGAGCCACCCAGGCGCCCCTAGAGTCTTCTAACATTCTTGTCAGAAGTAGTCCGTCCCTGTGTCCATACAAGTATGGTAGTCATTGCTGTTAATCTCTTACCTTGCCTAATTTACAGATTAAACTGGATCATAGGTATGTAGGTAGGTGCATATAGGGAAAAACATAACATAGCTAGGATTCAGTACTATCCAAAGTTTTAGGTGTCCCCTGGGGGTCTTGGAACATAAGTGGGGGCAGAGGTGGGGGGTACTACTGTGGGTCGTCTGGGTGGTTCAGTTGGTTAAGCAGCTGTCTTCAGCTCAGGTCATGTTCCCAGAGTCCTGGGAATGAGCCCCAGGTCAGGCGAATTGCTTAATGGGGAGTCTGTTTCTCCTTCTCCCTCTCCCTGCCACTCCCTCTGCTTATGCTCTCTCTCTGTCAAATAAATAAAATCTTTAAAAAAAGAAGGGGGGGAACTACTATATTTTCATACTTCACTTTTTAACACGTATTATCTAGCACTCAGTAAATACATTTCAAAGAACAACTATAACACCTTCTATTGTGGTTACTTACGCTACAAATATATATTTTTTCCTCTCCTAAACTATAAGCTTTATTATCTCTGTGCATCTTGTCTGGGCCCAGTGGATGTTGAAGCTGTTCAACATTCAAGAAATGCATCCTGATTTGAATAGTAGGTATCCAGTAATGAATACAATGAATGAATAAAATTCACTGAAATGAGTATGCCTAAATGGTAGATACCAGCTCAAAAGGTTTCTATATGACTTTCTGTATCACCTCGTACCAGGGACCAAAAAACCCAAATTAGTGTAGCTTATGCATGCATAATGAGTCACATAACCAGCTCATTTGTAGGAACAGGAAGAGCACAGAGAACAGGGATATGAGGTACAGTTGACTCAAATGTTGCCAGGACTCACTCTTCCCCTCTCCTTTCAGCCTTTCTCCCCATGTAAGCTTTACTCTTTCCCACAGGCTGCCTTCTTCCATGTGCAGAAAACATGGCCGCTGATAATTCAGGAGGCTCGCACCTCACAGTGTCCTCTGCTGGAGGGAAGCAAACCTTGTTCTCTCTGCGGTCCTAAGTTCAAAAATCCCAGTTAAAGATCTAATTGGCTCAGTTTGGGCCAATTAAGGGTGGGACCGCTAGTAAAATGACAGTTCCCTTGTTAACAGTGAGAAGAAAGATAGTCTTAAAGAAGCGGGTGTGGGTGTGGGGAGGATGGATGTTGCTCTAGGCGGGCAAACAGCTGATCCCCCAGGAGGGAGAGACGCAGCAGCTGGCATTCAAACGAGGTGAGGAGAATCTGCGGGTGTGATCTGGGAAACTCATGAGGGAGCTCTCAAGGGGCCAGACGAACATTATTCTGTTAAACACCTAAGGGAGAGACAAGGCTGAATGCACTTTCTTCAAATGAGAGGAGGGGTGGGGACAGGGTCCTCTGTGAAGGCCACCCTGCCGAGACTGGCCTGCTCCAGGGAGGCCATGGCCCAGCGGTGGGGATAAGAAGAAAAGGGGACTCCTTGGAGGCCGGGGCAGTCAGCCATACACAACAGCCCAGGCAGGAACCTTTGTGGGTAGATGTAGCCCCCTCCATCTTGCCATGGTGGGGGGAGGGGCACAAACCCACTGTCTTACATTTAGCGGTTATTTCTATGGGTCGATTTATTTTTATCTGTTCTAGACCTCAAGCCTGCTGCTGGAAGAAATAAGGCACGGAGGCATCTGGGTTTCAGAAAGCACAGGTTTTTGTGGCTAGCTTAGCTGCAGAGATCAGGCTAAAGACCTCTAAAGTCACCTTGACCCACCTCTCACATCCTCCCCTCTTGCCTCCACAAGGGCTGGGGACTGGAATGGGGTGGAAGGATCCTCTTCTCTCATCCCTCCACCCCCACCTGGGCAGGGGGCAGCCCTGGGCTCTGAGAGAAGGGAGGACCAGCCAGCCAGAGGTGGGACACACATGGGAGCCTCTCTGGCAGCACCTCCCCCCCCAGAGCCTGTCTCCCCAAAACTCCCCAGGGAGTTTGAAGAGAGGATCTTGCCTTTCACATACTAACCAGCTAGGAACTAGCATCATGTCTCAGCCCCCACATGCCAGGCAGCTGAAGTCGACTTCTCCTTTAATGGGACCACACATCTGGCCTAACTTGTTACTCCCCCGAGACAAGTTTACTGAACAGTTAGGCAATGCTTCCACGCACAGCCACTGCAGACAAGCTTAAAATATACTTTAATACATTTAAAGCACCATTCTGGAGACTGGCTTTCTCGGGATAAAGATGCAACTGACACTCATTGGGCTCTGAAATGTCAAGTTATGACAATCCAGCAGGGAGCCCGACAAGCTGTTAAATCTGAAGCCTGCTCAGTGGAATCCTTTCCTTCCATTCCCATGTCTTCCCCAACAACCCATCTGGGCTCCTGAAGCTGACATTTGGGTAGGACTTCCCAAACTTTAACAAGGTACCGTCCCTATCCCTGCAAGCAGGTCCTCCAGTGAAATGCCCTGGGTGGGGGGTGGGGATGGGAGGGACCCAAGAAGTTGGGAGGGGGCGGGGAGTGAATGAAAACCAAACTCACCCTTGGTGAAGCTTGGAAAGAAATCCATGGATGGGGGCGCACCTGGGTGGCTCAGTGGGTTAAGCCTCTGCCTTCAGCTCAGGTCATGATCTCAGGGTCCTGGGATTGAGCCCGCATCTGCCTCTCTGCTCAGCGGGGAGCCTGCTTCCCCCTTTCTCTCTGCCTGCCTCTCTCCCTACTTGTGATCTCTCTCTCTGTCAAATAAATAAATAAAATCTTAAAAAAAAAAAAAAAAAGAAGTCCATGGATGGTTTCCATAGAAGGTGCTATGTGCTCGCCCTTATCCCTGCAACCTTCTACCAGCTGGGCAGGAGAGAAGCCGCACAGGACAGGCAGAGGCTTATTTTGGACCTGGTTCCCCAGATGGATGGCACCAGACAGTCTCCATCTTGGGGAGCTCTAAGTTCTGTGCCCAGCGTAACAAATCTAAAACAGTTTCCTTCTTTTTATCTGTTTAACTTTCCCTGGGGTCAGAAATAGGATGAGTATGAGTTACTGAGAAGCAGCGGGATAGGAAAGTAAAGAGAGGAGAAAAGGACCCAAATGTTAGGAAATCAGAGATGATGCTAAGGGACAGAAGGAAAGTAGACCCTAGGAGTCTAATTCACAAGTCTGTTTCTCCTTGTGCCTATGGTTCTCCGTCCCGGGGCGGGGAGGACAGGATGCAAGGCAGGACAGGGATGGTGTGAAGGTCTGGGTTAGGCTGAATGGATCTAAGAGGCCTTTTCCCGAAGCCCTGAAGTTCTGCTGGGTCACCTTTTTCACTGCACAGTTGACAACCCTAACCTGTGAAGTATAGATCAACGTGCCTTCCAGAAGCACATGAATATGAATGAGTGGTGTGCCGAGGTAGGTGTGGGAATAGATCAGTCAATGTAGATGTGTTGTGTGAATCAGTGGACGGTACATGTTTGTACTTGAAAGCCACAATCAAAATCCAGGCAAAAGCTATGAGTGGCACTCTTGCACAATGCTGGTGGGGGTGTAGCTGTGGAGACGTGATTAACAATTTATAGGCTGTGTATAAGTGTGCAAGGATGCCGGAGTGAGGGCAAATGAACATGGAAATGTGTGTTGGAGCAGGACACAAGCACAGGAAAATTCATGGCTTTTGGAGTCGGTCTGACTTAGCTTTGCATCCTGGCTCTGTCATTAACCAGGTGTATAACCTTGGGCCAGACACTGGTCCTCAATTTCCCCAACTCTGAAATGAGGATGATAATAAGTACCTGCCAAGATTGCCGGGAGCATCGGAAATAATACCATGTATACAAAGCTTTTCTGCTTTAGCCCACACATAGTAGGGCTCATAAGAAATCAGCTATTATCATGCACTGTGGATGGGCCCCTGGTAGGTAGGGAGGCAAGAGCGAGCAAAATATGACCCAGGATCGTGCGTGTGAAGTCTGGGTGAGGAGGTGTGTGCTACGATTTGTGTGAAAGCAAAGCTGTGTACGCGTGTGCATCCAAAGCAATTCCTTCTCCTCCAGGGAGCCCCCTATTGAGACAGGGGAAGGAGGGTGGGGGGCCAGTGACCAAGGTGCAGCAGACACCTTGAGTTTTGGGGTCCTGGGCCCAAGTGAGTAAGAGGGTGAGAGGCCCTTAGGAACTGCAGGAAACCAACCTCCGGCAGAAGCTTCCTTTTTTTCCCTCCACCCAGCAACGGTAGAATACCGCCACCCACATCCACTCCCCACCTCCACCCCCCACCCTATTTTCCTTCCCACAAGCGACAGCAAGGGCGGGGAGGAAACCAGAGAGAAGAGAGGATTCCTCCCCTCCATTTCTCCATTCCCCCTTAAGACAAACCAGGAAGCAGCTGCGGCTCGAAATCGGGTCACCTTAACAGTAGAGTAATGGTCTGGCCTCCAGCCAAGCCCCACCTCCGTTCCAGCTCTCGCTCCTCCCCCTTCTCCTCCCTCAATGCTCCAGAGCTGGTGAGCAGGAGTCTGGCCGGAGTTGGCTGGAGCTGTTGCCATGACAAGCATTTTAAGAGAGCTCTGCTGTTGAGACCGTCCAAAGCTGGGGGTTGAGGGGGAAAGCGCGAACTTCCTGGGGAACCATCCCTCCGAGGAGAGCGAGGCCAGAGACACCGGTCCAGCACCCATTTTCTTCCCGGAACCTGAGCGGTCCTTCCCTTGGCCGGGGGAGGAGACCCAGCCCACTCCCCGGCGGTAGCTGGAAAGGCGAGAGAGCAAAGCCAGCATCAATAACGTGGTTGCCACACTGGGGAGACCAGTGGGTGGTCACTCCCATCCTACCCCGTCCATGGAAACCCGGAGGGAGAGTCCCGCTTGGAGAAGCCTGGATCTTTGCTAGAAAGAGAGGTAGGCTTGCAGAGAATGAATTGACTCGAGATTTGCAAACTTTGTTTCTTTCTTTGCTCTCAATGGCTTCTAAAACTCCCTAGCATGTTTCTTGCCTAGCACGTTTCTTGCGACTGGGTTTGGAGTGTGTGTGTTTGTGTGTGTGCATGTGTGTCTGTGTGTGTGCACGCACGGATTTGTCAAACACTGTATTTCCTAGATTCCGTTCTGAGAGACCCCGTAATCAAACAAGTGATTTCTTTCTCTTTTCCTAGTTTTTGTCATTCCTGGGCCGTGGGGGGTAGGGCGATGGAGAGACTGTCTTTCTCACACCCAAACTGCGCTTTTGGAAAAAGCATTTATTTCCCTCCATCCGTTCCTGCCCTCCCCCTTGGCTTGGGAATGAGACGCAGAATGGAAAACTGTTGCAAAAATATTTTCCGCGTCTGTTCCCTTTCTCCAAAGCCCCAAAGAGAAATGGAAAAAAAAAAAAAAAAAGAACTGAGTAAGAAATTTTCAACAGGAAGGAGGGCCTGCGATGAGGGACTGGAAGAGGGGCTCAGATGGGGGGGGAGGTCGGAGAAGTTGGGGGGTAGGGAGGGTAGTGCACAAATTCACAAATTAAATTTCTTTAGCTTCGTGAAGAAACCTCAGCAGTTTCTCTGCCGCTTGCAAAACATCCTCAGACTTTCACGTCTATAATTAGCTGTGGAAAAAGCTGGGAGTTCCCTCGCCCCGCTGTTGTTGAGTGTGTGCCGAGCGTCAAGAACCAACTGTTTGAGTGTCTCTGAGGGCACCGCCCCACACATCTCTGGTCCCACAGGGGAGGAAAGAGCAGGGGGTGAAGTTGGAAAGTTTGCAGTTCCAGGGCTGGAACCTGTGGGGCTGGTGAGCGTTGGACGGCTGGGGGTCGGTCACAGGCATCCTGGGGAGGGTCCCCAAGCGTCCTGAGCCACGGCGCCGTCTTGCAGAGAGCTGGAAATGGGGCTGGGATGGTCCCTCCCGCTCTCCTGCACACGCTCGCTCCCTCACATACTTGGCTGGATCTTGGGGTGGAGGAGGCCGGCTGGCACCCTCCCCAAGGCGAGGCCCGCCTCCCGCACTCCCGCGTCTCCGAAGGACCCACCGCTCTTCTCCAGCTGCGTGGGGCGGGGTGGGGGGGGGACGCGGGAGTGGCCTGCGCATCCCGGGAGCGAGTGGGCACTCTGCTGGCCAGAGGCACCTCCCCCGGGCATTCCTGCCGGACTTACAACAACTTGCAGACGCGGTGTCGGCGCCGGCTGGCCTGGTAGGGGGGATGTCGGATGGAGAAATCGCGGGCACGCAACTGACGCGGCGGGGGAGGGGAAGTGAATCCCGGGCTACAGCGCCATCTCCTCTGGGTGGGGTGTCTGGCTGGGAGGCTGCAGATCCTCCCCTCCCTTCTAGAGTTCCTCCCCAGAGCTGCCCCTTCTTGCCTTTCCTATTCCGAAGCCCCCTTCCAGCCCCCTCAGCGCCGGCTCTCTTTCCGTGGAAGAAAGGGAAAAGACCAGGGTCATCCTAGCTGGGACAAACCGTGGAGGGGGCGCCTAGGCGGTCAGGACGGGCTGGCTTGGGAAAGGTGAAGGAGGAGGAGTGCAGGAGGAGGTGGTGGCTCCAATGGCTTAGTGAGGGGGTCCGGCTTGGCTAGGGGTGGTGGCGTGGGGAGCGGGCGCTGGGAGGTGGGTCCTGGACCTGAAGCGGACGGATCAGCGGGGTCGGTCTGGGGGAGGGGTGGGGGAAAGGAAGCACCTGCCTTTCGTCCCAGCTGGTTTGGTTGGACGGGTGGTAAAGGTGGGAGCTTAGCAGCTGGGAAGAAGGAAGCAAAGGACTGTTGGAGGAGAGATTAAATGGGGGCCCAGGGAGCAACAGGAACCAGTTTTTATTTTGAGGCGTTGGATGACTGATCTGACTGCACGCCAAGGCCAGGCAGCTTCTCCCTCCTTGTCTCCTGATGGAGAATGAAGTGAGGCCTTCCCCAATGGGCAGGGGACCCACAGGATCCGAGCTCTTGTTCTGTAGGAAAGGGGGAGGGGGATCCATTTCTCCCCTCCTGCTGGGGAGCCCCATCCCCCTGCCACCATCTTGCTGAGGTTCAAACCGAAATCACCCCTCCCCCCGCGCGCCCTGCCACCGCGGGGGCCCGTAATCCCACCATCCCAGCGGCTGGCCTTCCTACTTTCAGTGCTCTGACTAGGGGTAGGTTCTGGTGGGTTCGGGGAGGGCTTGTCCCCGAGGAGCAGGTCCCTATCTAGCGCGCGCCGAGGCGCGGGCTCTCCCATCCCCCGACCCCGCTGAGGCCTGGAGTCGCGGGGCGTGGGCGATGGGGGCACTTCTCCTCGGTTCCCGCCTGGGCTGCAGCAAACCCGCGGCCCCGGGGCTCCTTGCGGCCGGCGCCCCGCCCCGTCGCGGCCTCTCCCTCAGCTCGGCTCCGCCCCCCGGCTCTGCCTTCCCGCGAGTATTGCGCGCGGGAGGCGCTGGAGCCCCCGAGCCCAGGTTTGCTGCCTCCCGGCCTGCGCTGAGCCTCCAGCCCCTCCCCGGCCCGCCGCCACCTCCGTGTCCCCGGCTGGATTCAAGGGCAAGTCTGGATTCGAGGCTGGATCGAAGGAGGGACAGTCTTAGCCCCGGGACTCTCAGCACAGTACCTGACATGTTATAAGGTGCTTGGTCAACGTTTGTTGAAAGAAGGAAGTGACATTTCGGGAGAGCCCGAGAATCGCCCCTCCTCGGGGCTGATGCCTAGCTAGCCCTGTGGGCTTCAGTTCCCCTCCGCACAATGGAAAGATTGCGCCCGCTGTAATGGTGGGAGGGAGTGGCTGAGTCAGATTTGTCCGATCTCTATGGTCTTTGGTGTCAGAACAAAGTCAAAATGGGAACGCCCAGTCAAGGGCAGGAGGAGAGCAGTTAGTTTGCTCGGGGTCTGAGTACCGGAAGAAGTCACGTGGTGTGGGGGGGGGCGGTCCCTGAGCAATGATGCTGGGAGCCTCAGTCTTCCCCAGCCTGGGCTGGAGGGTCTTCAGAGGAAGAGATCCCCTGGTGCTACTGGCCCAGCCCGGACTCAGCTACCACCTGTCAGCTACTCAACATTCCATGGGAAACTGCCTCTATTTCAAGAACTTAGCTGCTCCCAGTAATCCTCATAGGCCCTTTTCTCTTTTGGTTTATGTTCTTGGTCTGGGACCCAGTGCCCAAAGACATGGATAAACTCTGCCTGTTTGGGGCCTTCCAGATCCATGAAGCTTTGTAAGGAGGAAAGAAGGGCGGTTGTTCTGGCTCCCCAGGACCTTAAGGAGCATGTTTGGCTTAGGTGTTTGACCCAGGTGTTCTGCCCAGGTGTTTGGTTTGACCTTGAAGAGGAATGCCTGACCCTGAGCCCTCACTGCTTTCCCTGGAGGAATTCTTCTAGCACTTTGATGTCTTCCCCCAGCCTACCCCTCAGATAGCACTCCCTTCCCAGCCTAGGTCCCTGTTCCTCCGACTTGATTCCCATCATCCCCAATTGGTATTTGGTCAGACTGGGAGGACATCCTTTCCCCTGCTCATTTCCCTTTTCCCCTTTCTGTAGAGTGGGTCATAGAAAGAGAGCAGCCCCTGAGGCTGGAGTCCCCAAGGTTTGTGTGGAATGTTTTGTGCTTCTTCTCCCAACATCTCTCTTTGTCTCCTTTTTCCTCTTTCCCTGGTATGAGCCAGGGTTGCTCCACTGACTTATTTCCTCTGCACGTGTTAAAAGAGAAATGACAGGGACTTCTGGATTCTGCCTCCGCCTTAAGCCAGCCCATTGCGGTCAGCCCACAATCCTGTGGGAGGGAAACCAGGCAGGATCCAGTTAGGACCAGAGCCAAGGGCTCCTGGTCAGCATAGGAGCTCTTGGAGCCAAGTTGTGTTGGGGAGTGGGCGGGGGGTGGGTGGGATGTGGAGAGACCAAAGGAGAGAAAAGGGAGGTGAGAATTAGGCAGCAAGGGGCAAGGATCCCTCCTCTCTACTGCCTTCTCCACTCTAATTCCTCTCTGGCTGATGTCGTCAGCCCCATCCCTTCTCCGTGCTCTGATTTCCCAAGTGAAGTACAGAAAGCTCTGGGATAATTCAAGATGATGAACTGGGATGGCATCGGTGAGACCCCTTTGCCAGATCACTAGGGCAGGGGGAGTGTGAGGCTGTGTGTTTACTGGTCAAGGACTCTCAGATAGAGGCTCAGGGAAACTCTCAGCTCAGAACACCTCTCCCTGGATCCACCTAGGTTGCAAAGTCAGTGCTAAAAGTGCAATCCAGTACAACTCCTAGAGAGGGCAAGCCAGCAGTATCTAACTAAACAGCATACGCATTTATCCAACAGTCCTACTTCTAGGAACTTATCCAGAAAATGCACATTCACAGATACAAGAAGACATATGCACAAGGTGATTCTTTAAGGCATATTTGTAACAGGAAAGGAAATCACTGGAAGCTACCCAATGGCCATCTTTAACAGACTGGCTGAATGAACAACAGCACATCCACTCAATGGAGTACTATGCAGCCAAAAAAAGTAGGAGCTCCATGAACTGATATGACGTGATTTCTAGCATATGTTAAATGGAAGATACAAGATGGTTAAGAGTCTGTGTAGTATGCCACCTTTGCATCGAGAAAGCAAGAGAAGTAAGAATAGTTTTTTGCAAACACACACACACTCACACACACACACACACACACACACACACACACACATAGGTTAAACCTGAACTTAATTTAAATGGTTACCTATAGGGTGGGTGGGAACAAGGTAGAGGAGATAGAGATGGGAATGAAACTTTACTATGACACTCTTTTAGATAGTTTTTGGGTTTTGTACCGGTATAAATATTTTACATAGTCACCAGTTAAATTAGATTGCAGAGAAAGAAAACAGCAAACCCCAAAGCTGACCGCAACAGATATAATGAACCTAACTGAATGTCCATTTGATTACTTGTCAAAGAAAATAATTAATTCAAGTAATTTTTTTGGTGTAATGCCTCGATGTT